ATTGGCCAAGTATGTTTATTGTGGCGTAACATTTTTTTGATTATCAATTACTCAAAATCAATTTATAGTCTCGGAACCCACTTTTAATAGATCAGCTCCCATATGATAATTCAAGATAAATTATTAAATTATTCTAATTATTCAAATAAATTCAGATAAATAAAATGTTTAAATGATTAATTTTTTATTTTGTTATTATATTCATAAATATAAAACTATAATTATAAATAATCAGTAATTTTTAAAATTTTAAAATGGTAAAATATAATATTAAAAATTATTATCACAAATGTAATATTTGACTTTATAGTTAATTAAATTTGTATTTTATATTTTTTTATTATTATAATAATAAAAAAAAATAGATATATTCTTTAAAATTAATTATCTAATATTTAGAGATTTTTATAAATTTTTGCAGTTTATTAAAGAAAAATAGAAAAAAAGAAAAACTATATTGCTTTATTTTTATAAAATATACATTAGGATTATTTCGTTTGTTTTTAAATTTTTATCTAATTTAATAGAAAAGTTATCCAATTACAATTTGAGATTATAATTTAAACAACCATATTAGACATTTTAAAAAAAATTTATTTTGCAATAAATTCAACTTTAAAAAAAATGATGAAAAGGACTAGTAAGCAAATAATAAGTTCTTTTTTGAAAAAATATAAACCTAAATAATAAAAAATAAATCTGTAAATTTATAAAAAAAATGAATGAAATTAGCAAATTTGTATATCGATATTTAATTTACAAAAAAATAAACTAAGATTTATCGAATAATCGTCTTCATTTTATACAGTTAAACCCGATGAATTATGATGGTTTTCTACGCTTAGTTACGGAGGTTCTCCCTGTTTCTCTCTCATCATCTTCGCTAATAGATTGTATCTATATATTCAAAAAGTTTATTTTCGCTTATTAATAAATTCAGGAAAGAACCAGTTAAATTGAAGATATCAACACGATTTTGTCTTTTTTTCAGAGCGATTGTTAATATCACACAGAAAGTCTGTATCTCCTAAAAGGCTTGTATAGTTTCCTCTTATTATATGATCCTGTTGGAAAACTAAGGATGCAACATTGTTGGCACATGTTCTTCCTGCAACAACGTAAAATAATAATCACATTAGCTTTCTATCAATAATATGTTTTTGGTATTGAGGCACCAAGTACTTTAATATTACCACCAATGCTTCGCGTTCGATAATCGATGTTACTTTTCGTTTTTTTGATGATGCAACACTTGTCCAAAAATTAATGACTAACGGTGATTTCTTTTCATTCTAATAAAATGGTGTGATATTAATAAAATACAAAAGAAAACAATACTTTTAAAGCTTGCATGAAACTAGAGTCAGGACAGAACCACCACGAGCCGTAGATCATCACTTCCTGGTTGTAGTCACGAAGTGTGAACGGTTAAACGCAGGTCTAACCCCATCCAAGAGACTATCATCCCTCAGACTATCCACTGCCAAACAAAATATAAAAAATGCCTGAAATAAAACTAGTGCATTTCCAAACTTCTTCACTTCGTGTATCTGCTTCTTATTAATTATGATTGAAAGGTTTGAGTATATCGGGCGTGCTCATCTTTTTGTTGAACCAGAAATCACTACACCTTTGGCGGTATATCAAGAAACTAAGCAATTTCCGCTAGGGCTATAAGTGAAATAGTCGGGATCCAATACTTCGATTTCTTGCAAGAAAATATAAGAATTATTAATAAGAAAGTTAGAAATTTTCAAAGCATGGTGTGCCGGGAAGTGATATCTTCAGGTTCTAAATTTTCAGATTTAGTTGTAATAGTTGACATGGTTTCTCTTAGTTCTTGTTAAAAAATTAGAAAATACCAAGTATTATGCGAGAGAGGAGTATATTGAAAGTGAGTAACGGAAACAATTTTTTGGATCTTTATGTTAGTCGTTCGACTGCAATACTATCACAAAGAACAAATTCAAGGGATTGCTAACAATATTGTACAAACATACCGCTTCAACAAAGACGTTAGCGTGAGTTTTAAACTTTACAAATGAAAATCTGGACCTTCTTTTGGAGGGTGTATATATTATGTAAGATCATGTCATACAATAAAGTTTATGTTCGTAGGAGTTGATGTTATTAATGAAGGTGGTGTACGCGCAGCAGAAGGTACTTCAACGATAGTATCAACTTTTTCGATAATGTCTTCAAAAAGATTGTGAATTTTCTATTTACATCATCACTAGGGCTTTTCACGTCCGCAGAATTGCGGGAAGCGTCATTTTCCTCCAAGAACCATATTTGAATATTTTTGGAATATAAAGGAAAATCTTGAAGAACCTTATAAAAACTAATAAGAATAGTACTTAAGACAAAATAAATCGGTACAAACTATTTTTGATATGATGTCACAATCGAAATATGTACCATCAGAAAAGCACAAACAATTTAAAATTTTTTATCTCTTAAATCAGTTGAATCAATTGTAACGAACTTATAATTATCATTAAGTTAAGTAAGATTTACACTTAAATTAAAAAATAAAAATAAAAATGTCTGATTATTTATAAAGGTCCACAACTCCATAATCTATTTCGAATTAAAACGAGCATATGTAAAGTCATTTATATTCTATACCATTTACCTGTAATAACAACTGTACGAGCGCTTCCACCATCCACTTTCAATACATTCAATTCCTCGTCATTCTCTCTACAAAGAACTTCACCAGCGAAGGTTGAGCACAATTCATTGTGGAACCCTCTTCAAAGGAAATACCCAATCTCCCAAAGTGATTCCATCCAAAAGTTTACCTCTTTACTAGTTATTAGCAAATACATCGTCTATAAATCACCCGAATCTTCATAATTGTATGAAAGTTGAATCTCACATCATCTCACATAGGAAAGAAGTTAAAATCTATCATTAAACTACGTACCAGTAATTACAGCTTGAATGTCACCCTCCACAAGAAATTTTTCACTCGCAACCCCTGAAAAAATTCAATTACCGTTAAATCTGTTAATTCTCTAATTCCAAGCTGTCCAAATCTTCCAGATTCCCAGCTAAACACTTCTCCATCTTTAGTTAACGACAAACAATGGTTCTCTCCTCAAACAACATTTAAGAAAAATTTTTTTAAATTTTAGCTTTCATCAGAGATTCTTGTTTCTACATTATTCTTTAAATTTAATTTCCATAACTTTTCCATCCTAATAGTTTTTTTTTTGTAATAATTAAAAAGGTAACATCCATCCCTATATCATTTTATGTACCTGTTACAACAATTATATTATTTGATAAACTTTGCAGAAATTTCAAAATATTTTCGGCCCGTCCATGAAGTCTTCCATTAACGTCTAAACATCCCTGAACCCATCATCATCTCCAAAATGTTTTATCAGAAATGTGAATCATTGAAGAGGTGATACAACTTTACTTTCTGTATCATCGATACCCCAATATATCAACTTTCCTTCATTACAACATAAAATAATAAATCAAGAAAGATATAAAGATTCTAAAGAATTGAAGATTTTTAACTAACTTGTTATTTATGCCCAAAGTCGAACTCATATTAGACAAAATGATATTATCGTATTGTATAACCTTGTAATATCATCACTTTCCGGGTTTAAGGAATTATAAGGAATTATAACCGAATCATGCGTAAGTAGTTTTCTCAAAGATACTAGCGATAGTTTTTCTCAGATTAAGAATACTCAACATTCGTTTATAAAAAACGCTAAGATAATACATATAATTTTCTTTTAAATGATATAGAAACCGAAAAATATTCCCCCCAAAAAAAGAATTCTTACTAATTTGGTTACTTTCGTAACAACGGTTAATTGGTCATCACATGATGCGTACTTTTAAATATATGAGAACAGATAAACAATGTTCCGTGAGACAATGAATATCCTTGAACACAGCCGAAATACAAGTTATAAATAAAATAGAAATACAAATGAATGGGTTAATTGGAATAGCTAGAGAGAGTTTTAAATATTTTGAATTTCGTAATACTCAGAAATTGATTCTGGTATATTTGGAAAATTTTCGTACTTAAATCATTTATAGTCTTAACAACACTATAGTTAAAAAAATAATTCATGAAGTAATTAATATATATTTTAACTCTTGTAGCAAATTCATATGATTTCTAAATTAAATTTTGAATAAAGATCAAACTTCACCGTGAAGTCGATTTTTATGATAATGTTATTCGCTTTTATGGTATTATAAATACAAACAAACCAAGGTAAAAAATTTTTTTAAAAGGATTCCTATACTATTTAATTTATTCAATTTTGCTAAAAGTAATTTTTTTTTTTATTTTAGAAAATAATCGGGATTTTGAACGGCTTAAGTATTATTGCATGGCTGACATGTAAAAAAAAACAAATTTAATATCACATCCATGCGCAAAAGTGCTTAATATGATTTTTCATTTTAAATATAATGTATAAATTGAAAAAAATAATTGGATTTAGAAATAATAAAGATATTTATTTATAGATTATTAATTCATGGCCCGGAAGAAATTTAAATCTGGCAAAAATCAATATTACAAGTTCATAATTGCAAAAAAATATATTTTTACCCTGAATAATCTGGGTAAAATAAGAGATTTTTGAACATCAAGGTAAGATTTTAAAATACAAGCTTGTGTTTCATAATCTGGCGACAAATCGCAATAGGAAGACATATTCAAAACCTCTAAATTTCTTCGCAATGAATAATAGTTAGATCTGGTTCGGTGACTATTTACGCAAGCATAGCCTAAGCTGCGGGTTGTTTATCCTTTCGCTTTTTAAATGCATTTAAAAAATGAAACTAATAATAAAAAAAATAAAATACGAGATTAGTATTTCAAAAAAAAATATTAAATTAATTAAAAGAAATAAAAGCTTTTATGTATTAGATTATTTATCACAAACCTGAAAAAGTACCCTCAAAAAAATAATTATAATCTAGGTTAAAAAACAAAAACATCTTGAAATAAAAACATGAGTTGTCGTAAAAACAAAAGAAGGATAAAAAATGAAAACAAATTAAAGTAGAAAAAAAAAGAAAAAAAAATAACTAAAAAATAATAAATCATAATATATATACTAAAACAACTCCGAGTAACATTTTTACTATAAAAGCAAATTATTAATAATAAAAAAAAGATATACGATACGAACTGAATTTATTTGTGTAAGTTTTTTTTTTAAAAAAAAAAAAATAATTAATAAAAAACACTACTAAAAAAAAAATATTCTTTAGTGATCCAATTGCTACGAAATCACAAAAAACTTGTTCGGAACAAAAGAAGCTGCAATTCCTTTACAGAAACTTAGATTTAGTGATTAATTATTAATTTGTTTTAAAAAGTGTTTCGATCCTTATTCCCACTATTCATCATCCGAGATTAATTAGGATATTTAGCAAATTGACAATCTGATATAACAGATTGTAATCCAGATGAGTAGGATTAAATCTGGATTAGTTTATTGCCTCCTAAGGTTACCGACTATCCACATCACTGAGTTAAAAGCACAAGTAACGTTAGAAATTTCAAGTTTCAAAATATGACACATCGATATAAGAGCAAAGCTAACGTAACGTGCTATATTAAAAAGCTACTTAAATAGTCATTAAAAGTTGAAATTGTTATTCGCGACCATATTTAGGTTGACTAATTCAGTTAATTGTTATTAAAAAGTTTCTCGGAAATGGATATTTATGTGATAAATTTTTCTCTACATTAAGAAATTTTATAGTGTATTTTATTGTGTAGTCTAGATCTACGACCCCGCCGCAAGTCTTGATGTATGCAATACTTATTTAAAATTTTCAGCTTTGAAATAATTATGCGATTTACTATATATCATATAGTGAATCGGTTAAATCGTTGATGGGATTGAGTGCAAGTGCGAGATCGAGTGATGCACGTAAAATGAAGGATGTATTGACTGTATCAGATTTATCCAACAAAATCAAGAGAAATTTTATTTTATTAATATTTTACGCACAACCTTAGGAAGTTTTAGGATGGAATCTTTTAAACTTCGGTTCTGATCGTATCACTAATTATTATAATCCAAATTATAACAAAAATATGTTCTCACGAAAATATTTTTTTATATAGATATCTAGTTTGCCAATATAAGATACTGAAATGTTCATATTTGCGAAATTAAGAGTGAGTTGAGTGTATTTAGGATGCATATTTATAGTTAATTATAAACTAATACTACTCATCTGGATTATAATCTGTTATATCAGATTGTCAATTTGCTAAATATCCTAATTAAGCTCGGATGATGGATTTAGGGAATAAGGATCGAAACACTTTTTAAAACAAATTAATAATTAATCACTAAATCTAAGTTTCTGTAAAGAAATTGCAGATTATTTTGTTCCGAACAAGTTTTTTGTTGATTTCGTATCAATTGGATCATTAAAGAATATTTTTTTTTTAAGTAGTGTTTTTTATTAATTATTTTCTTTTTTTTAAAAAAAAAGAAAATATTCAAATAAATTCAGTTCGTATCGTATATTTCTTTTTTTATTATTATTAATTTGCTCTTATAGTAAAAATGTTACTCAGAGTTGTTTTAGTATATATATTATGATTTATTATTTTTTAGTTATTTTTTTTTCTTTTTTTCTTCGGTTTGATTACTTTGATTTGTTTTCATTTTTTTAATCTTCTTTGTTTTTACGACAACTATGTTTTTATTTCAAGATGTTTTTGTTATTTAACTTAGATTGTAATAATTTTTTTGAGGGTACTTTTTCAGGTTTGTGATAAATAATCTAATACGTAGAAGCTTTTATTTCTTTTAATTAATTTAATAATTTTTTTGAAATACCAATCTCGTATTTTATTTTTTTTATTATTAGTTTCATTTTTTAAATACATTTAAAAAAAAAAGCGAAAGAATAAACAACCCGCAGCTTACAAAGAAATAATTTAAAGAATATGGAAAATGAAGTTGATATAACAAAATAAATGAACGAGTTGATGCAAGAAATACGGTACGATCATAATTTGGAGGATCGTACCTGAGCCGGCCATACTCAAGAAATGCTAATCATTTAGCAATAATAATGAACCGAAAGAGAACTCAAGTATTGGGTTTATAGACTTAATTTCAATTATATGCAGGTTAAATTTTATGTTTTTTTATTGAATTTTATCAAATGAACGAAGGCTTTAATTATTAATTTTATTATTTATCATATAGAGAAAATCATAATAAACTCTATGCTTATGGGGAAAGAAAATAACTTATTTTTTTTTTGTGGTGATTTCCAATTTACGTAGTAAAGTTAAACGTTTCATTGTAATATTTACGAGATTTTTAATTTTTCTTGTCGCGAGCTTAATAGTTATTTTCCATTTAGTAGTGTTACAAAGAAATATTAGTAATTTAATTGTTCTATTAGTTCCAGGGCATTGTGTTTAAGTTTGTCCCCTGGCCAAATTGTCTGCAGGCCAAATTGTCTCCTGGCCAATAAGTCATCCGGCCATTATGTTTCGAAGACAAAAAGGCCTCTGAACAATTAGTCCTTGCTGGGTTTTAAGTATAAAAGAGGTGGGATTTCGCTTGAATAGAACGCATCAAGTGTTCCCTATATTCCCTAGATATAAACGATAGATAACATTAGCATATATCCCCTTTCCCTTTTATTTGTAACGATAACGAAAATATATAATAAATTGCGTATCTGATCGTATAGAGCGCCGACGATTGAGGCAATACTTTATTTACGTAGATATATGTTAGATTTCTCTTGTTGTTAATAAATAAATTAATTCTTTTCAATAAAGAAACCTTCTGCTTACCTTTTCTATTGTTTATAACCAATAAACGTCACGAACTGCGTGCAACAGTAGGTGACGTAAAGTATACACATTTTTAATTTTGTTTTATTAGATATTTATCGCATAAATCGCTTTATTATGTTTTATGATGTGATCAAAGATAAAAATTTTACTATTCCTTCCTATTGAATGAATAATTTTCTTAAAAAAAAATAATAATCGACCGCAGCCGAAGAGAAAGAACCGATAATAAAAAAAAAATAAAAAAATAAAAAAAAATTTACTACATCAATAAGGGTAAACCATCATCATAAAATATCACTTCATGGCAGGGATTTCGACCCGAAACGTCCGTTGTAACTTACAAATCATATTTCCAAAGAAAATAGCGCGGTATTCCCTTCTTATTTTTTTTTAAAAAATCACCAACAGGACAGTGTACTTAGAAGCAAATGCTTAAGAAAATGGGCTGCCTTTTTTCTTTATTTAGTATGTAGTCAATAAAATTTTGACTTTTGTAATTTTATTTAAGAATCTAAGAATACATGGCATGGAAGATTTAAATTATGTAAGTTGTACCACTTTTTTAAAATAAAATAACGAAACTTAAAGTGAAAAAAGATGACAACCTGAATTACGTCCAGAAATATTAATTATTCAATAATCTTTGTTTTATATTATACGGGAGCAGTTCAAAATCTCCGAATTGCCATAATCCCGATAATTATAAATTATAATAAAATAAAGTTTTCTAATTGCAATATTAGATTTGTATCGCTCGACATTATTAAAACTTTATTAATGATTTTTAAACTTTATTTCGATGAGATAATGCATTGTATGATTTAGCAATTTTCATCCATTTTTATCGATCGATGGTTGGCAAAGTATTTTAAAAAGTAATCAAGATAAAGATTTTTTTGCTAAATTTTAAAAGCAAAAATTTAAAAATCTCAATAAACTTCGTTAAACTCATGAATAGAACTCTTTAAAATTTGCTTAATATTTTTAATATTCAATAAAAATAATATTCGGGATCCTTCGGGATTTCGTACCAAACCTCAATATACTGTGCGTACCATAAATATGATATTAAATAAATGATACAAAATATGCATCAAACTGATTAATCTATATAATTTTATAATTAAGTTGAATAATTGCTATTCAATGTGACTAAAATCATGTGATAAAATTTAAACTTCGTATGGACGTGGGATGCAAGCAAGTAGGTTAGTCTATAGGAATTCTTAAAAATAGATATCTATAACAAAATAACAAATTATTAGCTTGCCAGCTTCATTTAAACATTGTATGATTTTCTAATTGCAAAGCTATGAATATAATCAAATTAATTTACATTTGAACGTTAAAATTATAAATTGCATGACCTTTTGACAATTTCTTTAATAAATTAATACTAGACCTGTATCAATAATATTTTTTTAATTATTCGACTTTTTTACTCCGTTTCATTGTTAAATGGTAATTATTCATTCCTTGAGAAGACAATTCGTTTAAATTAACTTCGTGAACTTCAGCCCTTTAAGTAAGGAGCGGAGATTTGTACAAAATCGGAAACCGCAGTAGATATATTTAACAAAAAAATTAAAGGATGCTTATTATTTTAATATTTATTTCTAAAATAATAATATTTAATAATTTTTAATTTTAATAAGTAAAATTACTTCAATTGTTCGTTGTCGTTAAATTAAGGGAATGGCTTCTGTAGATTTTTTTGAACTAACACTTTTTAAGAACCCTTCAAAACTAAAAAAATTTTTTTTGACAAGAATGCCTTAAACAGATCATATTTTTTTTTTCAGTTTGAGATGAATTCAACAAATTAAAATCATTATTTTATATTTCAAGAAAATCTTCATATGGTGTGCTATTAAAATTGAGGTACGGATCATATGATTTACTATGTCTCGTACCTCAATTTTAATAGCATACCACCATATTATAAGATATTATTTTACTACCATCTTAACCAGGATTATTGGGTTCCAATCTATTCAATATTTCCTTCTTGTCGAGGAGTGTATTAAAAAAAACATGCCTGTTATTATAAAATATTAACAAAAGATTTTGTGCATATTCCGCTATAAAGGATTTCTTAGTACTATCTTTAAAATGAAACTAGTTTCGGTTTAGCATATTTGCGAATGCCGGGATAGATTGTATAAATTTATAAGACTCGGTTCATTATTCATTGAGCAGAATAATCTTTGCTTAGCTCTGTGACTCGCAAACTGGCTCATGATAAGTTATAAATACACGTCTGTCGTGAGAAAATGTGATTACCTTAATCATTATAAATTCGTAATTATGGTTTTAATACTTGTTATTGACATTGTAATTTTCAGTAATGTCGCTTTTGCTCTCTTCTAAATGAAAACCCAGAAAATTTGGAAAGAAGGCAAATATTAAGCGTAAAAATCTCTTCATGTGAAACGGTATGCAGCATGCTCAAGCCGATTGCGAAGGACTAATATGCAGTGATGGCAAATGAATAATTGACAAAATGCGCAGTTATTTGAAGGATTTGAAGTCAAATGACAAACAACTTAGTCATTCGAAGAAATTCTGGTTAATATTATCAATAATAAATCTTAATTTTCTTAAATTTTTATTTATAATACTGGCTAACTTAAATTTTGCCAATACTTGAATGACAAATGACCTCATTTCAAAATAGTTAAATGACCTTGTCATTTGACATCACTGGTTTAATTCATTTTTGGTCTTTGCTGTCAACAAGGGCAAATATGTATGACTGACGGTAAATGGGGTGGGGATATATTATATTGGAATTTGGCTGCTTTAACTTGCTTGTTCTCGTGCACTCAGCGTTTTAATAAAAAATTTGAATTTTTTGAAATAGTATCAGATGATATGTATTTATTTAAGGAACCTGATGATTACTTTCTTGTTATTCCATATGATATGACCCATGAAGAAACTTAGTATCCTTCATTCAAAATTTTTTTATTTTTATTTTATTTTTAAGATTAACAAATAATATTTATATTTTAAATAACCCATTACAACAATATATTGTCTATAAATTTTATAATAGAAAAGTGTATTTAAAAAAAGGTATGGTATTTTCTGCTGAATTTTTTCAAGATATGCAAACAAACTCTTGGAAATTTGACTATTCTTTACAGGTGTAGAAATTTGAACGATTAATTTTGTACATTATTATAATTGATTTTATTTACAAAAATTATACAGAGATCCTCTGAAAATAAAAAATCATGATCAGAAATATATTTACGGTTGTATTTCTTATAAATTTATTAATCGGATCGGATTATTAAATGTGCATTTAATTATTTACTTGCTTTCAAATAATGTTATAATGTCACTTTTTTTTTAAAAAAAAAAGGTAACGAAATTAGTAATTTATTTTGTAGTTATTATCGTATTAAAGAAGGAACTAAAACTTTAGAAAATTTCCTGAAATTAAGGAAAGAATTTTAAACTTCTTGGTATCAATACATTTGATTAAACATATATAAAAATATAAATATAATTTTAAAATTTTAATTCTAAGGAAATATATAAAAAACGAAAGATATATTTACGCATAATGTAAAGCTTTTAATACATTTTCGAGAAATTGTTTGAGTTTATTTCAAATTTATGTATGCATTTCGTAATTGAAAAGGAATTTCGGTCCTTAGAATGATCATGAATCTGATGCATTACCATCAATAATTATCTAAAATTCAAAGCTAGACATTACTTAAAAAATTGCATATATATTCGAGTTCAAACAATAACTGTTTGTCATAATGTTAGACAAATAAAATTTTTTACCTCGCGATTATAAAGTAGAATGTAAACTCATTTATGAAACATTAATATGTTCCGTTATCGCAAAGATGAAAACAAACCTAAACTATTAAAATTATTATATATCTTAAATCCTACAAGTAATGGTACATCTACATTTTTTCGATTTCCACACCTTGTTCATATAAATATGCAAGTCTTTTTTGTGCATTACTATTATCTCCTTTAGCAGCTATTTTATATAATTCGAAAGCCATATCCTTATTGGTATTAACTACAATTCCATGTTCATAATAATATCCAACTTTATATTGAGCCTCAAAACATTCTAAATTAGATGATTTTTTGTAAAATTCAAACGCTCTAACTAAATTCTTATCAACTCCTTTTCCTATTTCATAAAATTCACCCAATTTATATAATGCTTCTTTATTATTGTTATTAGCGGCCTTATGATACCAGTAATTAACCTCATCTATATCATCTATTATTTGACCATTTTCATATAATTTGAAAATGCTTTGTACCTCATTAACATTTTTTCCAGATGCTTTATTATATAATTTCAATCCTTTCTTTTTATTTATGTCTGTTCCAATTCCATTTATGTAATAATATCCAAGAATAAATTTTGCATCTGAGAAATTTTGTATAACCAATTTTTGAATATAACTAAATGCTTTAAATTCATCCTTTTTGATACCATTTCCTAATTCATAACATTCGCCTAAATTATATAAAGCAATCACATTTCCTTTTTCAACTGCTTTTTGAAACCAATAAAAAGCAATTTTTAAATTTTTTTCTGTTCCAATTCCATCTTGATAACATTTAGCTAAATCATATAATGCTATTTCATAATCAAATTCTATTGCTTTTTGATACCAATAAAATGCTTTTTCTAAATTTATTTCAACTCTTTTTTCATCTTGATAATATTTAGCTAAAATATACATTGCTATTTTATTGCCATTTTCTGCTGCTTTTTGATACCAATAATAAGCCTTTTCTAAATTATTTTTTACTCCTTTTCCATCTTGATAGCAAATGGCTAAATTATACATTGCTATTTCATAATTATTTTTAGCAGCTTTTTGATACCAATAAAATGCCTTTTCTAAATTCTTTTCTATTCCTATACTATTTTCATATAAATATGCAAGATTAAATTGTGCAAATTCATAATCATTTTCAGCAGCTTTTTGATACCAATAAAATGCCATTTCTAAATTTTTTTCTGTTTCAATACCATTTTCATATAAATATGCAAGATTATACTGTGCATTTATTTGTTCATTTTCAGCAGCTTTTTGATACCAATAAAATGCCTTTTCTAAATTTGTTTCTGTTATTTCACCATTTTTATATGAAACTGCAAGATTATACTGTGCATCTGCATTATTATTTTCAGCAGCTTTTTGATACCAATAAAATGCCTTTTTTAAGTTTCTTTCTGTTCCTTCACCATATTTATATGAAACTGCAAGATTAAATTGTGCATTAATTTGTCCATTTTCAGCAGCCTTTTGATACCAATAAAAAGCCTTTTCTAAGTTCTTTTTTGTTCCTTCACTATTTTCATATAAAATTGCAAGATTATATTGTGCATTTATTTGTCCATTTTCAGCAGCTTTTTGATACCAATAAAATGCTTTTTCTAAATTCTTTTCTGTTCCTTCACCATTTTCATATAATAATGCAAGATTATTTTGTGCATTTATTTGTCCATTTTCAGCAGCTTTTTGATACCAATAAAATGCTTTTTCTAAATTTTTTTCTGTTCCAATACCATTTTTATATGAAATTGCAAGATTATATTGTGCATTAATTTGTTCATTTTCAGCAGCTTTTTGATACCAATAATAGGCTTTTTCTAAATTTATTTCTGTTCCTTCACCATTTTCATATGAAACTGCAAGATTATACTGTGCATTTATTAGTCCATTTTCAGCAGTTTTTTGATACCAATAAAATGCTTTTTCTAAATTCTTTTCTGTTCCTTCACCATTTTCATATAATAATTCAAGATTATTCTGTGCATTTATTTGTCCATTTTCAGCAGCTTTTTGATACCAATAAAATGCTTTTTCTAAATTCTTTTCTGTTCCTTTACCATTTTCATATATATATGCAAGGTTTAATTGTGCTTTTGAATTATCGTATTTTGCTGCTTTTTGATAATAATGGATTGCCTTTTCTAAATCTCTTTTTGTTCCTTCACCATTATTATATAAATAACCCAAAAGTGCTTGTGCATGATCATATTTTTCAGCTAAATCTTCACATATATTAAATGCTTTTTCTTTATTAATTTCAGTTCCAATTCCAAAATAGTAACAAATTCCAAGTCTAAATTTTCCACTTATGTAGTAGTCTTTTTTGGATAATGTTAAATAAGTTTCAAATGCTTTAATTTCATTTTTTTCTATTCCTTTACCAAATTCATAACATACACCTAAATTATATAATCCACTTAAATTTTCATTATTTGCCGATTCTTGATACAAATAAAAAGCTTTATCCAAATCCTTTTCAGTTCCGATACTTTTTTCATAATAATTACCAAGGTTAAGTTGTCCAAAAATACTTTTATTTCCTACGGCCTTTTGCATCCAATTAAATGCTAAATTATAATTTCTTTCAATTCCATATCCTTTCTCATAACATTTTGCAAGATAAACTTGTGCAATGGAATAATTATTTGTTGAAGCACTTAAAAATAGTTTAAATGCTTTATTGTTATTTTTTTCAAAATTAATATTATTAAAATAGAAAAATCCCAAAAGATAGACATGTTTAGATTCAACTTGATTCTCTTTAAGCCATTCAAAAATATTATTTGAATTTTGGTTTGAAAGAAATATACATTGATTGATGAAATGCTTTGTTTCATTAAAATCATTTCCCTCATCATGTGTTTTAATTAAAAGTACGATTAATTTATCAATAAGGATATCTATACTGTCTTCTACGTCAAATATTTTCAAAAATAACTTTTCTGCTTGATGTAATATATGTGAATGCCTTTCATTAACTATTGACTCTAAGTTAATTTCTTGTATCAATTTACTTAAAAATAACTCGGAATTATTACTATACATGATAAAGGATGCAGAATTAGAATGCATATCACTTTGCGATTTTATTTTATTTTTCGTGTGAATAATAGACTGAAATGTATCATAATCCTCGGAAATAATTGCTCTCAGTGAATCAACTACTTGTTGAAGAGTAGGGCGTTCATTTGAATCATCACTCCAACACGCTAATAATATTAAAATATATGTCATTTAAGTAATCAGCCATGGATAAACGTTACGTTATGCATGTCATGTATATTTACCTTTATATAAGTCACTATACTCAGTAGAAGTACCCTTGATAATTTTCTCTCTTCGTCCTTTTATGATATCCATAACTAAACTTGCATCATAATCTTCGTTTTTGGAATAAAATGGTTTATGTCCACTTGAAATTTGCCAAAGAAGAACTCCAACACTGTAAACATCAGACTTTGGATTTAATAAATAGAGTTGTCCTTTGTTTTTATTGCTAATATTTTTCAGGTATTCTGGATCAACGTAAGGAACAACACCAAACACATCTGTTGAATGATTAAAAGCATCATTTATCTTTCGAGATAGACCAAAATCTGCTAGTTTTATATTGTTCTTATGTATAAGTATATTTTGTGCATGCTATATTAATAAAGTTCATATTATTTAGTATATACAGTACATCAAAAAATTAAATCAAGTTATTTAAATGACTACAATACCAAATCACTATGGATGATTCCTTCGTTATGCATGCATGCCACAGCATTTGCAAGTTGATAGGCTAATTTATATTTATCATTCCATTCAAGTTTTTCAAAACTTTCTTCTAAATAAGATTCTAATGTTCCGCCATCAGCGTACTCCATAACCAACAAATACTTATTAATTGATTCCGTTTCTAATTTTGATATTCCATAAAATTTTATAATATTCTCATGATAATCAATCTCACGTTGCATTTTTATCTATTAAATTAAAGTAATTGAACATATTTTATCATAAAAGGAAAAATGAATTGCAATATTTGAAATATCATACCTCATTAACGATTTTTTTAATATCTGAATCGTAAGAAGATTTTAGAACCATAACGGTATCGGAATCGTTCCAGTTTGCTCGAGAAATCTTTCCATAAGATCCATTGCTAATTTCTTCCTTATTTATGAACTTTGCGAAATCATAGTATTTGATGTAATCTTCTGAGATTGCCTTTTCTATCCAATCGAAGTAAGCGGTGGAATAATTTTCTTGTGTTTCAGTAGACATAATTACAAGAAAGTGTTTTTTATTTTTTTTTTTTGCAAATACAGAATTGACAGAGTTTTTGTTTATTAATTTGTATTACTAAAATTAATCAAAGTTAATTTAAACAGATGATCGGCCATCGAAGTTTCAAATATAAGGGGAAGCCCGTTCGGCCGATCAGTGCGGTACGATCATGTAGATCGGTACTAATGAAATGAAATGGTTATTTTAGCTAATCACGATTCAAGTAATTGTCATAAAACTTTACTTTTAATTACCATTAAATTCTCTTTATAATTTTCAATTAACCTCCTCCCTATATTTTTTTATAGCCGCAATTCAATTTTCCTAATTCACTGAGTGGATTGTAATAATGACACGAAATTTTTATATGCAAAAGTAAGTATCAACAAGATGTTGATGATTAACTTGACACGTGATGAAATATAGCATGGATGCCCTTTGACAACCGCATGAAGAAAATGTATCAAGCTTTCTTAATAATCTGTACAATTCTAAAATATTCTTTCATTTATCATTGAAATCGAAAATTAATCTATGAAATCGCCTCGTATCAATTATGTTAAAAATATAGTACCTTATTTCTAAAAAAATTCTAATCTCTTAATCTCTTAACCATAAAATTATTTGAAAGGTTACTTTTTTTTTAAAAAAAAAATAAAGTAAATAAATAAATCCCGCTTTTATTAAATTTTTTATTTAAAAAATATCTACAAATATATATGAGAATTCAGTAATTAATCTTTCTTTTATACAACGAGGAAAGTTCTTTGGATAATAACTTTATGAACTTATCATTGTTACACTGAATAGTTTTGAATTTGGAGCAACATTAAACAGTGCAGTGTAACTAAATATATAAATTAATTTGTTATTACGAATCAAATCAATTTTAAATCTTTGTAAACTTTGTGTTTCAAATATTACATACTGAAGTAATTTATTTATTTTTTTTTTTTTGAAACGTATATGAATAAACATTTAAACTTTTTAATATAAGAAACCAATAAAATTATTTGAATCTCTTTTGCGCATAAAATCTATGAACTTTAGCATATGTTCGATATTCTTCGACTTCTTGAGCTATTATATCAAACATTTTTTCAAATTCTGATTCTGTCATACCCATGTAACTATGCATTCCAATGGATGTATGGGCCCTTTTGAAAAGTTTGAAAGCCTTATATAAATATATGAAGAGAGAAAAGAAAATCGTATATAATTTAATAGTTTAATAAATTAATAAAAAAAAAACATATTTTAAATAACGACTTTCACTTACGAGTTCTCCAAGGTTATTTCCCCAAAAAGTAGTGACAGCTTCTTTAATAAAAACATCGGTCCCCAACTTTCCAGTGGCTTCCAGATAACCTTTAATATACGATTTTACTTTTAAATTTATCCCTTTGGAATTAATGCATTGATTTGTTGCAGCCACTAATTTTTTCATTGTAGGGCCAACATTTATAAAGTCGTAGGCTCCTTCCATTAACTGTACAATATAGACATATTCTTTAATTGATATTACTCCTTTTTAAACAAAAAAAATTGTACTCACTTCTATCCAACCACCTCGTTTAACACACCGTACCATATCTTCAATTATAAATGACCAATCGGTCTCTTTCCATGTTGTAAACATGTTTGCTGAGTAAATAAAATCAAAGGTATTTCGAGGGAAGGGAACTCCATAAAGGGCATCACATTGAATGAATCCCAAGTTTGAAGGGCTTGATTCTTGATTTAACATCATTGATGAAATGTCGATCCCGACAAATGTGCATTAAGGAGCCATTCTCCTGAACCACAGCCTACATCTAGAACCTTTAAACCACCTGTTTTGAATTGTTTGTCTATAGGAGAAAGATAATTTTTCCCTTCCCAAGTGTAATTTATAACATAATGTTGCATTTTCAACCTAATCGCTTCATTTATATCATTTGGTAAAGCATATTCCGATTCGTTATGATTCCTATCCCGAAAATTACGGTTAGATCGTATACCATGTTCCATGATTGACGAGATATTTTTTTTTTTTTTAGGGGAATGTATTTGATTAATTAAAAGGATAATGAAAAAACAAGTAATTTTTTTTTTTGTATCCTATGCATTTATATAAAAAATTTAAATCATTCGATTGATTATTCCCAAATTTTCTTTGTTGAGCCTTTGATCGAACCAAAAAAGGATCATAAGACGCGAAATGCTTTAATTACTTACCATCATAAAGGATTTCTTTGTGATAATTTTTCCTTTTGTAATACCAACTTATTTCTAAAAAAAAAACCTGTTAATTACAGTAGTACGAATCTAAAATCACTAGCCGATCACCATAAAACATTTAAATAAAAATATTAAATGTTATAACCGTTTTGATTAAATTTATGAAGATACAAGATATTGTAGAGGTTGGAACCGGCCCAAAAATCCTTAACCGGTTAATAACCGGTTAAAAATTTCTTTAACCGGTTAATTAACCGTTTAAATTTAACTCAGGCCGGCACTATAAATTTGGGCAAAACTAGCAAATTTTGTAATTGCAAAAAAATTTTAATTCTGCCCGAAAATTAAATTTCGGCCAGAGTTAACATTAGTTATTTAACCGGATAAAAAAAAATCTTTAACCGGTTAAAAAGATAAACGTCTTAACCGGTTAATTTACCGGTTAAAAATTAACCGGTTCCAACCTCTAAGATATTGTACAATAATTTTATAATTTATCAATGTAAAATTCAATAAAGGTTTGCAGTTTTCATGTCGATAATTTTTCAAAAGCCAAGATTATATTATTTTTTTTTATTAATAATCCCGAATGTATTGTTTTCTTAAAGTGGTTAGCGATCTACCCACTCCTCGTCAATTTGTCATGGATTTAGAGCATGGTGTTGATATTTTAGAATAGAAATCCCATTAGAATATTTTTTATTTAGCCGTAGTGATTTCGCAATGATACAATTTATAGGGATGGATCCGACTGGTTAATAGGACCGGTCTTTTACGGTCCTCGGTCCTTATCCCGAGGACCTATAATCAGGACTACTGTCGGATTTCTAGCCGAATGGGATCCCGACAACTGTATTGTTTGCTAAAGCTTATATTTATCTACCTTTTTGCACCATAATCTGTTAACCAATAAACACGAATGCAACATTAATAAAGTATAAAAATTTTTCGTTAAGGTAAAATATGTATGTTAATAATATAATTGTAGTTGTTAATTTCAAATGAGAGTAGCTGCTCGGTCGACGGCTGAGCCAACTGAAAAGGGACTAACGACCGGCTCCAAAATTTTCTACGACAGGTTCTATATCTACGTATTCTCCGCAGGGCTGCGCATTTCGTAGTATTAGATAACGAAGAACGAATTATTGAAACCTAAAATATTTAAATTAAATCCAGTATAATAGGATTAATATCTCCGCGTTGCGTCGGTTAAATTATTAGGGAAACTTTCATAAAATCAATTAAAAATAATTTGTTTATCAACCATTTTAAAA